TCTTACTTAATTAGGTGATGGCTGTGGATGGTTTGAAGTTCCGAAGGTAGTACCTATTCTCATGGCGACAATTTGACACAAGCTCATTCCTTTTGTTGAGATTGTTTAGATTTGCACCATGCTGCAGCTTTTCGGGACTTTGCGGCCGATCGAACGAGATGGGGCAACATATGCTCGGCCGTCACATGAACATATGGACTGCAGGGACTAATTTAACCGGTATCGCATCGCAGTTTGCGACGCAAAACACAGTGTCTGCGATTCGAAGTTCGTAGTGAGTCGTGGTAAACTGCGACACAACATACATGTTAGCTAAGTAGTGCATGCGTAGCGCATGCACATGTGTAGCTTTACAGTGTGTGTGGCTGGTTTGGCGCCACGAGATGGCGCGCCATGCACTGTGACTAGATTAGACTGTGTGTGTGTGGTTGTCCAGCCTGCACTGCTAGGTAGATTTTACACCATACGCACGCGCGGGCCGCGGGACCATGGCCAATAATGTCACACTATCTCCGCACGCGCACCGCAGCACGTGCACTTGGAAACTAACTAACTACTTACTTGAAGTGCAGCCCAGGAAGCACGAGGCGAGTGTCGACAAGTACTTCACCTGCTTTTGAGATATAGACCGCGTTGCTTCACTAGCAGTAGGCATCTCGACCGTTCAGGACTTATCTTTGTAAAATTCTGCTAGCCTTATTGATGAAGCCTCTTCACTGCCGGCATGTCTGTGAAGCAAGGTACTGTGGACAAGTGGATTGCTGAATTTGATCCCAAAAAAGAATGGAATCGCGCAGAGTCGAGTGGCGGAGCTGTGACCAAAATATTTTGCAAGATGTGCAGGGAGAAGGCGTCCTCGCTTCGTGGTTTGAGGAATTACAGCACGGCGTTCGTTGACGGTATAAGTGGAAGTGCACTGAAGACTGCATTGTCGACGGAAAAAACTGCTACGCAAAATTGTTGCGTTGCTATGCAAACGTCGGGGTTTGTAGCAATTATTGCTATGCAATTTTTTTGAAGTAAATTAGTCCCTGGACTGTCTTATGTGTGTGGACGATGCTTGTGCTCACTACTATATCAGGGTCTACAGGCATCCGAAGCACTGATTGTATCTGTATTATTTTGTACTCAATGTATGCAACACTATTATCTCAACATCACCATATTTTTTATTTTTGTTTATGTTTTTCACTCCATTGTCGTGAGTTCCCCTTGGGAACGGATACGAGAATAATAATAATAATGCTGCAGCTTGGACAGCCTGAAACCTCTCTGTTTTAACGAATGAAGTATAAAATATATATGTGCAGTCGTATACAAGGCCACCCAGCCGGCGTTTGGAGCCAGGAAAGCTAGAAACACGTTGCTAGGCAACAGCAAAAGCGCTTGGTGAATATCACGCTACTCATGCAATGCAGCATGTACGCAAGCGAGTATCACGCTATCCTTGTGCTGAGGTTACAACATTACCCCTTGCTGGAATCAGACCCGCGCCCTCGAATACCTTACGCTGATCTCCTGACGGCCAAACTCAACCAATTATGCACTTTGTGATGGTTCTCACATTCATCCATGAATTTCTTGCATGCATTTCACACTCATCTCTCATGCAGACCGTATTAACACTTCCTTCTAACTTGACACTTCGGTTCTTCTTACATTCTCATTGTTATGAATAGAATGAATGCCTCAGACATTTTTTTTTTTTTTTTACTAGAGCCACGTAAACCCGTCATGTGTGAGCCATGAATAAGGGGAGTGGTGGCGTGGTATGGGATGCTCTGCCGACCTTGGGTCTCGGCTTCATCACAACCAACCGCGCCAATAGCAGAGAGAGAAAGAGAGAGAAACTTAGACAGAAAGAGAGAGAGACGATGAAGGTCGTCGGTAGTAGTAGTAGTAGTAGTAGTGGTAGTGGTAGTGGTAGTGGTAGTGGTAGTGGTAGTGGTAGTGGTAGTGGTAGTGGTAGTGGTAGTGGTGGTGGTGGTGGTGGTGGTGGTGGTGGTGGTGGTGGTGGTGGTGGTGGTGGTGGTGGTGGTGGTGGTGGTGGTGGTGGTGGTGGTGGTGGTGGTGGTGGCGGTGGCGGTGGCGGTGGCGGTGGCGGTGGCGGTGGCGGTGGCGGTGGCGGTGGCGGTGGCGGTGGCGGTGGCGGTGGCGGTGGCGGTGGCGGTGGCGGTGGCGGTGGCGGTGGCGGTGGCGGTGGCGGTAGTAGTCGTAGTCGTAGTCGTCGTAGTCGTCGTAGTCGTAGTCGTAGTCGTAGTAGTAGTAGTAGTAGTAGTAGTAGTAGTAGTAGTAGTAGTAGTAGTAGTAGTAGTAGTAGTAGTAGTAGTAGTAGTAGTAGTAGTAGTAGTAGTAGTAGTAGTAGTAGTAGTAGTAGTAGTAGTAGTAGTAGTAGTAGTAGTAGTAGTAGTAGTAGTAGTAGTAGTAGTAGTAGTAGTAGTAGTAGTAGTAGTAGTAGTAGTAGTAGTAGTAGTAGTAGTAGTAGTAGTAGTAGTAGTAGTAGTAGTAGTAGTAGTAGTAGTAGTAGTAGTAGTAGTAGTAGTAGTAGTAGTAGTAGTAGTAGTAGTAGTAGTAGTAGTAGTAGTAGTAGTAGTAGTAGTAGTAGTAGTAGTAGTAGTAGTAGTAGTAGTAGTAGTAGTAGTAGTAGTAGTAGTAGTAGTAGTAGTAGTAGTAGTAGTAGTAGTAGTAGTAGTAGTAGTAGTAGTAGTAGTAGTAGTAGTAGTAGTAGTAGTAGTAGTAGTAGTAGTAGTAGTAGTAGTAGTAGTAGTAGTAGTAGTAGTAGTAGTAGTAGTAGTAGTAGTAGTAGTAGTAGTAGTAGTAGTAGTAGTAGTAGTAGTAGTAGTAGTAGTAGTAGTAGTAGTAGTAGTAGTAGTAGTAGTAGTAGTAGTAGTAGTAGTAGTAGTAGTAGTAGTAGTAGTAGTAGTAGTAGTAGTAGTAGTAGTAGTAGTAGTAGTAGTAGTAGTAGTAGTAGTAGTAGTAGTAGTAGTAGTAGTAGTAGTAGTAGTAGTAGTAGTAGTAGTAGTAGTAGTAGTAGTAGTAGTAGTAGTAGTAGTACAGTTGCGCTCGGTGAAATCCGGCCCGAAGTGTATAACTGGCGCCCAGTACTGATGCGGCCCTTGACGCCCTCAAAGTTGTACAAGTGCTAGTGTTTGCGTGTGACGTATGAACCAATCCTTAGTTTCATGGATACCACGCATGCTGTGACATGTGCACAATGTGAACTTATTTATGGCACATATACATTTCAGATGGGCACCAAAATGTCTATGAAGTTGGACAGAAAGATATCACTTTGGCATTAAAAATTAAAATTACAAAAAAAGTATGCCGTAGCCACCTTTTTGGTTGGCTCGGCTCAAATAGTAATGGGAAGAGTCTACCAAGTTATAGCCCCCTGCAGCTACCAGGAGCATACTTTGTCAAGAACTATCAATTTGTCAATTTGGGGGTAAATTTACATATCACTGCCATGAAGTAAATTGAAACTGCTCTATGGATTTCCTATAAATTTGGTAAAGATACCACCTCGAGTGCTGTTGCGGTGATGACTATGTGGGTGAAACTGGCCGAAGCGTTGCGACAAGGTCAAGGGAGCACAACAATAATGCACGAAATGAGGTCCGAGGGAAGGCGCTGGGTGAGCATTACCGGATCTTCCATGCCGATGAGCCATTGTCGCTGGGGCAGACCGGATTCGCCAACGTCTGTGTGCTTGCGACAGAGCCAGACAGGGCAAGGAGAAGGATTCGGGAAGCGGTCAAGATCCGGGACATGGAGCCTAATATCAACACCAGCAGTGGTTGGGATCTCCTGTGAACTCTGGTTGCCTGGCTTTTTCATTGGAGTGCTAGCTATTCATGTGAAACCTTAGCACCCACAAATTGTACGTATCACCACCCTAGACTTTAGCATTATGTTAGCACTGTCCACACTACTGTAGTCATGTGGCACAGGTTGTACATAATTATCACCGCCCTGGTCTCTCACACGGAGGACTAGCACCCCTATTGTGATCATGTGGCATGTGTCAATTTTTTTCGCTTGGGAGTTGTTGTTTTTTTTGTTTTGTTCTCCCCGCTGTATTCCGCACGCACCTAGCCAGCTTGTTGTTTTAAAGTCTGCCTTGCTTCCGTGTCTGCTTCATCCTGAAGATGGTCAGAGTGACCGAAACGTTGAGAAGAAAGAAGAATTGTTCAGCTGTGTGAAGAAGCAGTGCATCTGAGTGTTGGCCAGTGTTGCCACAATACAAGTTGCTATAATGAAGCTGCGTGAAGCGTCGTTCCGAATTTTTGGTGAAGATGTTCCTTTGATTGATGAAAAAGTGGCTTCCAAGTTCCATGTTTCTGTCGCCACAAGAACATACCTTTTGAGTTGATTAAAGAAGCTAGTCTTGTCAAAAACCACTACCGGAAAGGAAGAAGAAAAAAGTTTATACGGGGGAGGTTCGAATCCGCGAGGGGCAAAAAAATAATAATATTTCATAACCTTACTACTCTAAACCTGCACAGAAGGATGCTCAAAGGACTAGTTTTAAATTTAGGAACGAGAGGGCCACAAGTTATCAGAACTCGTAGGCTTTCTCACGTTTCTCTTCCAACAAATGCAGTGTACAAGGCCTCGAATTTACTACGATGGACTTACTGAACACAGCATTCACTGGCTCACATGCACTAACGACAGTTCACTTTTGTCCCAATGCAGTCCACAGGCTTCTAGCTCGTCTTGAATTCCTCAAAGGCGAATGGACCCGACGGTGTTTCCGCTCCTGTCTTGAAGGAATGCGCCAGAGAAATTGTAAAGACGCTATCTCAGCTCTTTACTTCCAACACGGAGTTCTACCTGGAAAAGTCTTCCACAAGTGGCGTCAGATTCAGGTCATAAATGGTGGGGTACATGAGATCAATTAGCGAAATGCCAAATCGAGAAATCCCATTTGCCACATCTCAAAAGAACAGAACAACGCCAAAAAACACCTTTCTACGGTACATGCACAACATGACTTACAGCTTTCGTAATTTGGTTGTGGCGTTGAACAGCCCGACAGGTAGGTGAACAAGTTGATTCTCTTTCAAATCTCTGGGAAAACAAAGTAGAATTTTGATAGGACGTATATCACTTCCTGGAAGAATTTCTTATTACTCTATTTGAAGTCTCAGAGGAGAAGGACAACATGTTACGAGTTATGACTAGGGATTATTATTGTTTATACAGAAGAGAAAGATTATTTTTTAACCCTTTCTGTGCCAGGCCCAATGTACGCTGTTGGCCGACCAATTTTCATAAAAAAAATCTGATTTTTTTTCATTTTAGTCGTATCAACTCAAACCCACTTGTTGTCCCTCGCTGGCATAGCATGTGCTGCCGCGCCCTGCTCAAACTCGACATCGACATCTCTGATATCCTCAGGGCCGGTCAAGGCGACCATGGCAGTAGGTACGACATCGACCACGGCGAACTCATCCGCGAAATTTGTTCCATCACGATCGTGGACGTCTATGTCCGCATCCGAGTCATCGCCTTCACTAACACATTAATGTCCGAGTCTATCATGGACTGGAGCACCTCTTCACCCGACATGCGGCGACTCGCCGTGTCTGAGTGAAAGGTAGAGTACGTTCCGTCAATCTAATTGTTTCTGAATTGGAATATGTTTTTCGCCCGAGCGCTCTGAATGTATGCTCCCGCGCCCTTACGTACTCAAACACGGCGAGTGAGGTCTTATTTAGTAGGGGAAAACCCCTAGTTCCCCCTCTAAGAGCCACACTCGGCCAAGTTAGATTGTAGTGCATGGCCGGTGAGATACAGTAGTGCGCACTACGAGGACGAGATATCTCGTCTTTGGCCAATCGCGTGGGGGTCTGTAGGATGAGTTATCTCGTCCTTGGCACTGAAAGGGTTAAAGAGTCGGCACTCAAAGAAAGTTTAAACTTGGATACTGAGCCAGTAATAAAATGTAAAAAAGAGAAGAAACACATGAGAACGAGTTAGGCAGCAACTATCCACGACTGTATGTATGTATGTATAACTCATAATCACAAGGTGATCGTAGAGGCATTAATCAGCGAGAGAATTGTGAATGATGTCTCTGAATCCAACTCTATCGTGTGCGGCATGAGAGAGAGCATGCAAGGGAAGACCCGTCCAACTTTTAATGTTAGAAATCCATGATGTCGCGGGCCTTCCTCTCGGTCGAGATCCAGGAGTTGATCCTTGCAGGAAGGGCTTGGAGAAAACGTCATGTCTCGTAACATGGCCAAACCACATCAACTTGCTTGACTTCGTTCGCTAGCCGCATCCTTGCTCCGATGATGTCATTGATTTCTTCCAGGATAGATTGGTTGGTACGCCGGTCGTGGTATGTTACTCCTAAGAGTCGGCGGAAGCATTTCATCTCGAAGGATGAAATTCTTCTCATTGATGAGGCAGATAATGTCCAAGATTGGCATCCGTATAAAACAGTCGCTAGCACAATAGACCTAACAAAACGAAATTTAGTAGGCAAAGAAAGTGATGGCGATTTCCAAATGAATTAAAGCTCAATGATGTTTTGCTTCCCTAGTGCTAAGCGTCTTCTTATCTCCACATCAGACTTGCCATCCGACGTGATTACGGCACCTAAGTATTTAAACTGGGATACCTCTTCTATTCGCTCATTGCCTACATGAATGCACCCCAGATCACCACCGCCCTCCGGCGCTGCCATTGACTTGGTCTTGGAAGCATTGATCTGCATGCCTAGTCTTGTTGCACTCGTATCCACGCGCTCGGTCAGGTCCATCAGCTCTTCCACAGACGATGCAATTAGATCTATACCATCCACAAAACGTAGGTTGGTAACGCACATGCCACCGATACATACTGACCCATCAAACTCCTCCAAAGCGTCAGACATGATGTACTCCAGGAATACATTGAACAGACAAGGCGAGAGTAAACAGCCCTGCCTGACACCCACTGATGTGGTGAACCAGTCGGTGATAGTGGATCCAACAACGATGGCAGCTTCAGTAGTAGCGTAGAGGGCTTCAATCAGGTCCACAATTCTTGCTTTGATGCCATGCGCTCCCATAATCTTGAATAGCGCTTTGTGCCAAACCCTATCAAAGGCCTTACGGAAATCGATGAAGCAATGATACACAGCCTGCTGATGGTCACGGTACTTTTCAATTAACATTCTGAGGTTGAAGATTTGCTCCACTGTGCTTCTTCCCTTCCGGAACCCTGCTTGCTCGTCCGCCAGCAAACCATCCACTTGCGGCTGCAGACACTTAAGTAAGATCCTCAGTAGCACTTTGCTCGGATGACTGATGAGGCTCACTGTCCTGTATTTTTGGCACTGCCGAAGATCTCCAGACTTAGGGATGGGAACAAGAATGGACCTTGTCCATGATGTCGGCCATCTACCAGTTGTCCACGCGAGGTCACAAATCCTGTGCATAACAGCCACCAACGTATCTCCACCATGTCGCAAAAGCTTGCCAGGAATGTTATCGAACACCGCTGATTTGTTTTTCTTGAGGGAGTTGATAGCGTATTCGACTTCGATATTCCGGGCCTTCTTCCACGCAGTAACGAGATGATAAACGGTCAGAAAGTGCGATAATAGGGCACACAACTGACAGGCTACTGAGACATTCAGGGACCCGAGACCTAGCTCTAACACATCTCCAGTGCGCAAACCAACAGCCTTCCAACTTGGAAGCTTCATGGTTTCGTAAGATCGAAGAGGGGAAGATGACCGCAGCGAAAATGTGCGAGACATATTCCGGGCCTTGGTCCGCTCAGATTTGTAATGGGTAAGCTTGTCAGGAGTGGGGTACTTCTTGCACTGGATGTGAGAGTCTCGATTGTGCTTTAACTGAATTCTTAGTGCCTGAGTGAGCCACGAGGGATTACTGGGTGACAGGGAAGATATATCTCGGCGTATGCAGCTGGCCACAGGTGCGTTTCAACGGCTTTGGCCACTGTGGGTGAGAGGCTCGCAGGTGAGAGAGAACAGACGTGTCAAGCTATACAATGCATTTATCACACCAATACTCCTGTAAAATTGCTCAACATGGGGAGTCCCAAGCAATGTCATCGAGCTATTGGAAGCATTCCACAGACGTCACATGGCCAGCAATCGAGGACATCTGGGAGTTGTAATGTTTGTACTCCTCCGAGGTGTGATTTTTGGCGTGCTGGGCCAAGCACAAGGAAGCCACCTGTCAAAAAATGAAGAAAACGGTTGTTGTTTGATCCTTTGGTGTAATCTTTGTAGGTAGTCGAAGCAAGTTGCTGTTTGGAGCAGAAACACTGAAATTGACTTTGTTCTGCATGTACTCATGTACTCAGGCATGCAGTCTCACTCGTATTTTAGCTCTTTTTCTGGAATGGATACTGCTCTGCGCCCCTTGGTGAACATTTCCTGCACTCGTGGAGCAGCTGAAAAGGACCACTGGTGTGTCTGGTTCCTGGTTTGAAAGTGGAGAGTCGACTGTTGTGTCTTGAAACAGGAGTAGCTTATTTTGAGTGCTCCTCGTACATTTTTGATCATGATAGAAATTCTCAGAAATTCAGATGACCGATCAGTTTTATTGTGGATTTTTTAGTAGTTTCGTCTCGTATCTATGTCAGTATGGTGATGTTGAAGTGGAGAGGGTGATTTTCTTCCTCTGGGCTTCGTTCGGCCGACTTTCCTTCGTCCTCGTTGAAAAGTGATGCTGAAAAAAGGTCGATTCGCAAAATTATGTTGATTTTGAATGTACGTGATGACATGCGGTTGCTGGCTATGATTGCGAACAGTCGTCGGGATCAAGTACCCTCGAGTCATCAAAAATAACGAGCTGAATAAATGCACCAACTCCCAGCCCCTAGGGAAAACCATTGTGAGAGCGAGGTGGCGGTTCTTTTGGCCATGTCCTGAGACTAGACGACGATGTACCAGCACGCGTTATGATGGCAGCATACTTCGAAAACCCAAGTTCCGCTGCCACTGAGTCTGCATCAGGACCTGCAGCGTATCGGGGGTCACTCAAGAAACGTGAGCAACTTGAGAACGTCCATGCCATCGCCCAGTCATGACAAGACCGGAAAGACCTATGCAGCAATGTGATAAAAGCATACAACAAAGCCTAATACTGCTTTCACCTGTGGCAGCTGCATGGCTGTACGGTGTACTATAACATAACTCATTGACTAACATATTTTGTGAAAATATTATCCTGTAAAAGAATAGGAATGTAAACGATATACCTGTGAAAACACAACCTTTAATGCTACTAACACAACCTGTGACTACAATAATCATGAGAACAACCCCAAAACATTTCTTGCAGTTTACTTTCGTAGAGTTTGCAACATTGTGTTCCTCAATACAACTTGCAGCTTTCTTCAAAAATATCCTCAACCTTGGTTCTGCCCTAGATTGTATATACATGCATTCATTGTTTCGTCTCATCATTATGGAGCAGCTTATGCGAAGGCTAGCCAAGCTTGCTTGGCGATGCCAACGCGGAAAAGCCTATAATAATAATAATAATAATAATAATAATAATAATAATAATAATAATAATAATAATAACGAGCCTGGACACCGCTAACAAAGAGACTGTTAAACAGGCCCTCAATGACAACCGCCGCCGTGAACTTCGAGCGATGCCTCTTCATGGTCGCTATTGGGCGCGTGTTGATGGCATCCTGGACATGCAGCTCTCGTTTTCCTGCTTCAGATCCCAGACAATGCGTCCTGAAACGGAAGGCTTTCTCATTGCTTGCCAGGATCAGGTGATTGCCACGAGAAACAATATGCGCCATATCCACAAGAGGCATGATGTCGTGGACCTCTGTCGTGTATGTGGTGCACCCGGAGAAAATATGGACCACATCATCGCCTGCTGTCCAGCCCTGGCACGGACTGCATACATTGCCCGGCATAACTTTGTGGTCCAGGCCCTGCATCGTGCGCTGTGTAAGCAGCATGGATTACCCAGCAGTAAGCAGCTGGTACAGGTCACAAGTTCTGCCAGTTGCAAGCTTATGTGGGAGATTTCCATTCCCACAGATCGAATAATAAAAGCGAACAGACCAGACCTGGT